TCTCTGTTACAATCTTTCTTTTCTATATTATTCTAAAGAATCAAAAAAACATTTGATGATGATCAATTTCCTTACTATTCTAACAAACACACTTCTAGTGTCCCGAGTTATTGTGGTCTTATCTTCTTATGTATTGAAAGTCCTTTCTATTAATAAACTGATATACCCAAATATAGAAACAGTAGCTTAGGTTTTTAATTTTCTGTTTTATGAACCATGAAGCATATATTATGAAGAAGGTCGGTTTCTTTGTATTGGAATATCTACTGAATATGCTCCTTAGGTTATAATTTGTTCTGGATCTTCCCGATCACTTATAAGCTGCATAAATCGTCTAAATAATAATTATTTTCAATTCTTAATTATAATCAGATGATTAATAAAATAAAGTAAATATTTTGTTGAATCAGAAGATGACAAAAGAAAGCCTTTTATTCTTATCATAAATCATTTATAAATGAAGGAGATAATCAATCTGTATAACACATTTATTTTTAAATTTATTGGTGAAAAAATATTATTTCTTTTAATTTCATTTAGAAACATAACTTTGTTTTATCATTTATCGAATAATTAAATTATAATTTCTATAAATTGTTGTATTGAAATATTATATAAAATTATCATGATTATTTAATTTTATGAATTTAAGCATTTTCTTTATGAAAACTAATTCTTTAAAAGTTAATGAAGAGTTGTAAAGCTACGAAAATTATTAGAATTATTTAAAATGTTCTTTTGAAATAGTCTTCTTCCCTTTGTCTTTCTATTATTCGATTTATAACTCTTATCATTCCAATTAAAGTAAATGGAATAAAGACAAATATTAAAACTGATTAAATTTTTTTCATAAATTCTGATTTGCTTATGTAATATATAGATTCAGTGATTTCCATAAAAGCCCAACCACTTATTGTGTGTCTAAATGAGCAAAAACACAATTAGGGTCTCATAAAATACCATTGAAATAGTAGTCTCATGAGAAATACATAATATTTCACAACATTATTAGAAGATAGGATTTAGTTTTGCTTGATAAAAACAATTTCGAAACATTTTCCAATAGTCAAAGCTTTAACTAAATTTAGAATGTTGGAAATGTCTTCGATTCCTTGTTTTGATTAGTAAATTATTAATGCCATAGCTTGACTCCAACCAAGAATTCTAAGAATATTATACATCAAAATAATTTCGGCAGATATTTTCATTTGAATTAATAATTAATTTTTGAACAAAAATTATAAAAGACACAATTTATTATTATTATTATTATATTTTAAAAATGTCGAAATAATACTATAATAATATGTGGTAGGAGACAATAAATGATATTCAAGACTTGATATAAGTTGAGAATTTTTAGAATGAACCAGACTTTTTAAAAAAACCCTCTTAAGATCTTTTTCAACATTATGCATAAAATTACATACGTTACATAGGGATATATAAGAAGTTTAAATTAAAAAATAATTATTATTAGATTAGAAGATTGTTATGATTAGATGGTACATCCTTAGAAAAAAATAAATTTGAAAGAATTATTAGAATTAGCAATAATAAGAATGATTGAAAATAAAAAATTAGTAATCCAATATAATGTACATTCAAACAGTTACCAATCAGATATGGTGAATTTAGATGAGTTGATTACAGATTTAAAATTAACTCCAGATTATTTAGAAGTGCCAATTCCAAGGTATTTTAAAAAGGAAACAGATAAAGAAAGATTGGATGAGAGAAACTTTATAATAGATAAAACATTATAGGATATGGATTTAGGTTAACCTGAAGAAACAGTTATAGAAGAATAATATTTTTTAGATACAAAAGAAGAAAATATTTTAGAAATAATATAGAGAAATGAAAGAGGAAGATAAGGAATTTAGAGAGGATTATAATGTAAATAATTAAGGAAGGATAAATTAAGAAAAGAAAATAAAACAAAAAGATTAGCAGAAGGTGAAGAAATAACTGATGAATAAGAAAATGAGAAAGCAGTTTTGATAATTTAAAAATATTTTAAAGGATACAAGGGAAGAGAATAAGTTTATTATATGAGAGAAGAAGAAATGAAATTTTTAGGAATTTAAAGAGATGCAGAAGATCCAAAATAACCTAATTCTTAATCTATGAAATCATAAGAATAAAGATAAAAGTATATAAAAAATACATATATATTTAGAATGACCTTAATTTAATAATAACATATGAAAGATTATGAAGCTAAAAAGATAGAACTAAAAAAATTGGTATAGGAAACAGAAGGGCCAGAAATTAAAGAAAAAAAAATAAAAGAAAGAATAGATTGGATAGATATGTATTTAGATAAAACAGAAGGAAGTAATGAATTGATTATCTTAAGAAAAATTGCCTGCAAAAGCTATTGATTATTATGATGATAAAAAGAGATACCCTCCATCATAAGAAGAATTGGATGCATTAAAGGGAGGAAAGAAAGGTGCTAAAAAAGAAAATAAACCTGAAAAGAAAGGTAAGAAAGGAAAAAAAGACAAGAAAGAAGAAAAGAAAGATACAATAGATTTAACTACAGTTGTAAAAATAAATGAAAGAGTTGAAGAATATTTGACAACTTGGGGTTCTACAGATGATTCAACAAATTTTTAATAGACTTTTGTAACTGATGTAGCAAAAGGATTAGTTAGATAATCTGTAGAAACAGAAATGAATAGTTTAGTTGATGAATTAATAGAAATAGAATTAGATAATAGACATTTATTCTTATTAAAGAAACCCAGAAAAAGACCACCAAAACCCAAACCACCTAAAGCTCCTAAACCAAAAAATTTTAAAGTGCCAGGTGCAGGTGGTGTAAAAGGAAGAGATGTTTTTGATTTATTAAGTGAATTGTTAGAATATGGAATAGTCAAAAAGTTAATGCCAGCAAATTTAGCTGATCTAAAAGGAGGATAAAATGTATTAGGAGCTACTTAAGAATAATAATTTTCAACTACACCTGATCCTTCTTATCCTCAATTAAGATCAGCATTAGCTGAATTTGTTGGAATGTAATTAGGTTCTCCTGTTTTAAAAGAAAAATTAGATAAAATGTCTTATTTCTTATTCTTTGGACCATCTGGATCAGGTAAAACTTTAGCAATTAGAGCTTTGGCTACTGAATGTAATGCTATGTTACTTGATATAACTCCAAGTTCTCCAGAAGTTTAATAAAAGTTCTCTGATAAATCTTCAATAGGAAAAACATTTTATACTGTTTTTTATGTGGCTAAAGTTTTGCATCCCACAATTATATTTATGGATAATATAGAATAAGTTTTTGGATCTGCTAAAAAGAAAAAAGGTGTTCCTGCAGCTCCATGGGCTAAATTAAAGAAGCCACTTTAAGATTTTAAAAAGGCTAAGTTTATTGAACCAACTACAAGAGTTGTTTTTATAGGTTGTACTAATTAACCTGAATTAATGATTATGAAGGATTCAAAAAATTTCTTTGAAAAAAAGTTCTTTTTTCCAATGTTAAATTATGATACAAGGTTAACTTTATTAAAGTATTTTATTGAAGAGAAAGGAATAAAATTAGAACCTAATTTCCCTTTGAGTACTTTAGCTCATTTAACAGAAGGATATACTGCTGGATCTTTTAAAAATGCTATTGATAAAATAATAACACCAGAAAGAATCAAAAAGATACCAGATGAACCAATTACTATAGATGAATTTTTAGCTAGACTTTCAAGATAACCATATGTAAAGTCTTAGGTAGAATATGATAAATTGAGAGTATTTTATATTAGTTATTGTAGACATTCTTTGATGAGGTAACAGGAACAAAAGAAAGAAGAGAAAAATCAAAGGCTGTTGCAGTTGATCCTAAAAAGGGTGGAAAGAAAAAATGATATATTAATCATTAAAATAAACATATATAATAAATATTAATAATAAATGGTTTGTTGTTCATGCTCTTAATAGCTGATTTTCACGATTGTTTTAATCACATTATTGTTTGCAGCTGTTACCATAGAAGCTGTTAGATATGCTTGGTTAACAATATCCCTTATGTTTGGAATTTTGTTAATGATAGGTAAAATATCATCTTCTAATATTAATTATAGATTATATGTTTTCTAATGAAAAAGGTTTCATGTATGATCCAGATTATAAAACTTGGAGATAAAAAACTCAAACAGATGCATGATTATTCTATAATTTTACATACATTAATTTGCATAATTCATTATTTTGCTCTATATTATAATTTATTATATATAGACTTAATTGTGTTTATTAATTCAATTATAATATTAATAATATACACTATTTGAATATGGATAGAGTCAGATTACATCATTTAGCAGAATAGAGATGTAAACCACTTGGTTGCAGAATGAAATCATGTTAAGAATCAGCCTAAGATCCTAATTTATGTTAATAATATCATAGAGAACTCTTGGAATGTATTGCAAAAGAAAAGACGAGACTTATAGATAATTGGAATAGAACAGGTAAATTTTCATCTTGATTATATATATATATATTAATAATAATAATAATATTGTTATCTAAATGAAAGGTGAAGTAATCAACTTAGATCCTGAAACTAATCCTAAACTAAAGGAAATATTGGATTTACTTCTTTTAGCTGGTTATTTTAGAATTCGTATTCCATCAATTAAACCATTTGATAAAGTATTATTATTCCTCTCTAAAATTAATAGATTTTAGGTGGACTTAGTTGGTGTATCACTCAATCAAATTTTGCAATTGATATTTAATATAATGATGACTATAATATTGGACAAAAAATCAAAGTTTCTGAATAAATTGTGAAATCTTTAATTGAAATGCAATGTCCTTATGCTCTTTAACCTCATTAAATATAAGGTCTAGATTTAAATGCCATATATCCAGTTATTAAGTGGCTTATTAAATTTGTTTTAGAAACAAGAGAATTTAGATAAGATTAAAATTATAGAGTAAGTAAATTAGTTGGTAAAAATGCTAATTAAACCTTATATTATTAAGATTAAGAAGAAAAAAAGGCAATCTAAGAAATTGTATCATAATTAGATTTATTATAAGATAATAGATAAACTAAAAATTTAAAAAGGTTATCAAAAAAAGACCCTTTACGTGTATATTCTACATTAATTGAATATGGAGATTTATCAAGTTAAAGAACATATAACAAATTTTGTGCTTTAATATCAGGAATTTAAAAATAAAAACAACAAGGAAATTAGTAAAATGTAAGTGCTGTTAATAATAAATCACAATTGAATTCAACATTAGCATTTTAATAAAATTTATTTGTAGATGAAGTTTAAGAAAAGAAAACAACAAACTAAAATTAAAATTAATAAGTAACTTTGGAATAATTAACAAATTTACAGAAAGAGAAAATATAGTAAGCATAAGCATAAATAAAAGAAATGTCTTAAATAGCTGGTCCATCTGCTGAAGCAACTTTGAATGAAGAAGAAGGTAGAAAATTTCAGAAATTATAAAGACGTAATTCTATTGCTGGACAATCATTATCATAATTGATTTCTAAAGAAAAAATTGCAGAAGGATTAAAATAGTAAAATTAAGAAGAAGAAGATCAAGAAGTTGTAAACACAGTAAACATAAAGTTACAAGAGAAATTGATTTTAGAGTAATAATTTAAATTACAATAACAAAATCTTAACAATCTTGAAAAGGCAATAGAATAAGATATGGTTGAAGTAGAGTAATTAGAATAATAGAACAATTAATTATAATAATAAATAAATGAAGAAAAATCACGTCTTAGTAAAATTGTGGAAGCATTAAAAGTAATTGAGACAAAAACAAAAAAAGCAAATTAAGTTGATATAAAAAGAGCAGAAGAATAAGTTGCAAAAAAATTAGAATTAAAAGAAGAGAAGACATAATTAAAAAAAGAAATTAAATAAGAATAATAAAAAATAGAAAGAGAAAAAGAGGAAGCTATAAAGAATATGCCATAAGAAAATGATTAGGAAATATTTAAGGAAATGAAAGCATAATACAATTAAAAGAGGGAAAAGTTTGAAAAGAAATTTTAATAATTTTAACTTTTAAATTAGGAGATTGTAGTTTTAGAAAGAAAGCTGGAATCTTTTCCATAACCTTCAGAAATAGCATAATATCATTAAAGATTTTTAAAATTGTATGATTCAATTAATGAAGAGATGGAATCAAATAAAAAATTATTATCAAAATATAACAATTTGTTAGAAGTGAAATAGTTGGCAGCTTAATTTGTAGATATTTATAGAACTTTTAAAGAGAATTACACTAATAATTTAAAGGATAAAAAAGGAAAAATAGAATTATAGTAAAATTTAGATTCTACATACAAAGTATGATATTGAGTATGCTTTAGCAATTATAAAAATAATTATAGCTTTATTAAGAAAAGTTGTAATAGTCTGAAAACAAAAGATAAAGCAATTTAGAATAGTATAGATAAGCATTAGCAATAGAGAGAGAATATTACAAATTATTGAAGGAAATAAAATTTGAATATGAAAAATACGAATAATATACAAATAAAAATGAATGAAATAAATATAAAAATCAATAATAATAATAATTTATATTTTTAATTTGTGTTAAATTAAGTTATCTAACCCTATCTGTGTTACTCATCATTACTTTTTATAGATTGAATGCAGTGTCAATGATAGGGAATATAAAAATGAAATAATAGAATCATAATAATTGGATTTAATACAATTATTATTTTTTTTGACTATTTCAAACAAAATCCATCATCTGATTTTATTGATAATATAAATTACTTTACTTAATGGGTTGTGGTAGTAGCGCAGGAGCAGTAATTGAATAAAATAGAGCACCTGGTTTCAAAGGGCCAGTTTTTTTGACAATAAAGCATGCTTTATTAGAAAGGGATGTAAGATTCATAGGAGTTATGGATCCTTATATTAAATTGCTTATGGGAAGACAAGAGTTTAAGACCCCAGTAATAAAAGAGGGAGGAAAACATCCGTACATATATATTTTGTGATTATTTTTTAATTAGAAAATGGGAAGGTTGCACACACACATTTTAAAAATTACTTGGAGAACCAGATGTAATAATAGGGTAAGTATGGTGTGAAAATACAATAACTTCAGACATTCTTATTGGTGAGGGAGCATTTTCTTTGACTTCTATAAGAAAAGGAAATGCTGAACCTAAGAGAATTTCATTTTTACTATTTCATCATGGTGAAAAAGCAGGTGAAATTCATTTAGAAGCAACTTTTACACTTGATCCAAGCGGAAAAGAATTACCAGAAATAAAGGCTCCAGATACTGAAGGAAAATTCATTGTTAAACCAAAATTTGGAAGATTAAAGAAGAATACAAATTTATTATTAAAGATGGATCCATTTTTAACTATTCATTTTGGTAATGAAACAATGAATACTTCTGTTGATGCAGCTGGACATACTACACCTAAATGGAGTGATGAAATAATATTTACTAGAGAAACAAATGAAGATACTTTATATATTGAAGTTTGGGCTGAATCTTTAATAGGATGGAATGATTTCTTAGGATGTGGTAAATTAATCAAATTTATTAAATAGGTTATGCTTCTATAACTGATGCATTAACACTAAAAGAAAACTAATTATAAACAGTTACATTATTTTATGATGGTGCTAATGTAGGAGAAGTAGAGATAGAATGTACATTTAAGACAGCAAAACCATAAGATTATTTGTAGAAAGATAAATCATCAAAAGAAGCAACTTCAAAAGAATCATTTTAATAATAACTTTAATCATATTAATAACCATAATAATAATAATAATAATAGTAATAATAATAATAATAATAAGTATTTCCATAATAATTGAATTAATTTGTTTAAAATTATGAAGTCAGATATTAAAATAGCTATGGATAATAACCAATGAATGGTAGAGTAGATTTCACATATCCAAATGGTGATCAATATTCTGGAGACATGATGAATAATTTAAAACATGGATAAGGTAGAATATAATTTAGTTATGGTGGATATTATGAAGGTTAATGGGCTAATGATTAATATAATGGAATGGGAGTGTTAGTAGTAGGGGATTCAAGATATGAAGGTTAATTTATAAATGGAAAGAAAAATGGATAAGGAAAGTAAGTTTGGAATAATAGATAATAATATGATGGATAATGGGTTGATAATAATATGCATGGAAATGGGTAATTAATATTTAAATATTAAGTGAATGGACATTTGTGAATGGAGGAAAAAAGAAGGGTGTCTGGGCTCATGGAAATAGATTAAGATGGTTAGATGATGATTAGAATATAGTTTAAGCAGGAAAAACTATGACTTCAGGTTTTATGTTAACTAGTCCAAATTAATAATTTACGTTATCATTCTTCCATGATGGTAGATTATACATCTTCCATAATTAAACTAGATAACCAGTCTTTTCTGTATTTTATATAATTATCATAAAATAGGCTGTTAATTTCAATAGGTAACCTATCCCTCCTGTTTGGTTAAAATTTGATCCTTCAGGAGAGTTATAAATGATTGATGCCAAAGGTGTACCATATTGGGTTTCTGGCTAAAACTTTGGAATGTTTGCACCTCCATTTGTATTGGTTTTGTAAGATGATGGTAGACTTGTAATCTAAGATGCTAATGGATAACCTAAATGGTGTTCACATTGAAATCATCAATAAATAAAATAATATTTATTAAAATTCTTTTTCTATTATAAATTCTCAAATTTATTAGAATATTGATCTCTAGTCACTTTGTTATTACATTCTACAAAGTTTTACTTATTTTGTTCAATTTCTTTTTTGGTTTAACTTTATCAATCAAATTAATTATTATTTTTAATTACATTATATTCATGAATTAAAGTTATTTACTCTAATTATTTACCCAACCAATTGCAGATGGATTGTCAATTGTTGAATTAGATCAATTATTGGATTACATTGCCAAATTGTATTCTAATTTAGAAAATTAATAATCTGTAGATTTATACATGGAAAACAATTTCTCAATCAAGTTAATTATGATAATTAGAACAATTTATCATTTTGATTCAATTATGTAAATGAATACCTAGAAATACAACTCATTAAAGTTTAAATAACTTGTCGTCTTTGTCACTTAATAAGTAAAGAAACTATCATAAATTACATCAGAATAAGATTAATAAATCATATTTTCATTGACTATTCACCTTGGAATTAAATATTTCAAAACTCATCATAAACTTATTTCCCATCTTATAGAGATGATTTTTGAAGCATTTTAAGAAAAAAATGAATTGTTTGATTTTCTATTGCAATAAATGTCACAATCCTTAGCCACACCTCATTAATAAATGTCTAATTCTATTCTTCCTATATTATTTATCTTGGATTAGTTACTAAGATTTTTATTTAATATAAGAATTTTGGATCAATAACTTTCAATTATTGTTGAATAAATATTTCAATAATTCTAATATCTTGATTACACAAATATTGATGTTCATGTTGGAAAAACAATAAGCAATATAATTTTGTTATGTATATAAAAATACAATTATTATTAACAAGAAAAATTATTAATATTATCCTAAGATCAAAATTTATTAAAATTTATTCAACATTATTTGTTATTGGATCATCATATTACATCAAACTTAGTCAAATCCTTATCTATATTAATCAAAAATTAATCATAAGTTCAATTATAACTAAAATTTGATACACTTTAAATTCCATATTTAGCTTAATTAACTAATTAAATTTTACCTCTACTAATATAATCATTTTTACAAACTAAATTTGATCATTAAACTTCTTTATCAGTTTTACAATTTGTAAATGAATGTTTAAATTACTCTTTTTCATATGACTTCTTTTAAAATAATCAATAATAACTTGTATTTAATGTTATTTTAGAAAACTTGTTATTCAATGAAGAAGAAAATGCTAATTTTTATGAAAACACTTCAGATTTTTACGAGTATCTCTAAACCATAATTAAATTAGATGTAAAAAATATTAATTTATTTAGAATGATTCAATAAAGAGCTTGATTGCCCAAATTTTGGATAAGCTTTCCAAAAATATTGATGGATTTATTAAAACTTATTATGATTTATCATATGAATTGTTGCTATTTCATTTCGAAGTGATTCAAGAAACAACTTTATGTAGTAAATTAAAATAGGAAATTATTTCATGTAACTTTTTCACATGTTCACCTGAATTAAGATATAATGCAATTTTACTATCATTTTGTATTCTTAATAAATAACTTACATCAAGAAGAGATATTAGATAAAGTATAGAATACTTTTTAAAATATAACTTAAAATATATGAAAAAAAAGGCTGATGCCCTTGGTAAATGTTTGGGTATGGAGTTTATTAAGATTATCTTGCCATCAATATTTTCTAATTCTGAAAAATCCTTTTAAAAATGTATTAAATTCTGCTTTTTAATTTTAAATTAAAATAAACAGAAAAGAAGTGTAAAGTTATTTGCTGTTAAATGCCTTACTGAACTTATTTAAAATTAAGAAGTTTCAAATAAGATGGAAGACTCTATTGCATTTTAGCATTTCTAATTTTGTGATTAATTAGCTCTATCTGATCTTGATTTATTTTATGAGTTTGCATAAATAGTGATTCAAAATTGCAATTTAATTGTAGATACTTACCTTGATGATATAATGAAATCTCTTGCAAGAAGGATTGATTTTGGTTGTAAAAAAATAAAATTGAATCAAACTTAATATATTAATCACACTACTATTGTATTTAGTTGCTTAAAGATTATTGATACAATTTTATCCTAAACTTATACTTTAAAATATACTGTAATTATTTTATTATAGTTTTTAGGCCTAAATAGAACCAACCTTAATTTAAATTTTAAATAATTTGTTACAACCTGAAAATTTATAATTTTTAGATGAAATTTTTGACGCTAGTTCTAAATTCATTGCATTTACAAAAGGATTAACATAAACTATTTATATTATATTTGACAGTTTGCCTGCAATTGTAGAAAAAGAAGGAAAATTAACTGTCGAAAGTGTTTTTAAGCTTTTTTTACAAAGCACAGTTCATGCTTCTGAAATAGTTAAATCTAAACCATAATGGATATCAATTGTAATTATTATGTCTTAATTATTAGATGTTAAAGTTTCTTTATACAGAACTTTAAAAATATAATTCTATTGAAGATATTATTAGAATTTCTATATTAGTTCAATTATTCTACCAATATTACAATTTAGATGAATGTTATTTGTTGTTTACAGAATAATTTTATAATATTCTTTCTATTTAATTATAAGCGAAAGAAATATTACCGAAAACATTTATTTCAATTTTTATGCCAGTTATTATGGATAATTCTAAATTATTAAATGCCATTATAAGATAAATCATTATTAATACTAGTGGCTATCTGAATTTGACATTTGGAAAAGCTTTAACTGTCTATAATTATAAATTTTATTTTATAATTATCCACTTTTTAATTTTAAACTCTCATTTACTTTATGAGGAATAACATAGATAATAATTAATTGAATAATTATTTAATAGTTTTCTAAATAAATATGCTGCTTATATAGAGAAAATTTCTTTTCATTAAAAAATTGGAAACACAAATTTTGCATAATAGGTAAAATATATAACAATTATTTAGGTATAAAAAACAATTCCAAATTTTGATTTAGAATATTAGGACAATTAATTAGAATAACATTTGAAAGAGATGTCAAATTATAAAAAGGAGAATTAGATTGAAAAACCCAATAGTATAGATCTTGAATCGACTCGAATAATGTCATAAGCGTAATAAATTTAGATAGTTTAAAACATTTTATAATATTTAAAAATAAACTATCCATCAATATTATCATAGCTAACTGAAGCAGATCACTTATTATTGAACTAAATCTTATAATTTTAAGAAGTTGATGGTAACAATTAGATAGGAGTTAGATAGATAATGAATGTTAAAAAATTGCAAAGAAAATCTTAAAATTTGAAATAGTACAATGTTATGTGATTTTAAATATATATGATAAGTTTTAAAAATTATATAATATTAATTAAAAATATTTACAAATGTTAAGTTGTAGTTGTAAATCTTCATCAGTATAATTAACAGATGAATAGAAAAAAGAATTGAGGTGGAAGAAGGAAATAAATTTGCTTGAGTATTATAGTATCAATGTATAATTATGAAATTAGATATAAGAATAGGATTGAATTGTTTTTTATTTGATTATGAGGTAGAATATGAGGGAAAATAGTATTACATACACACATTTTGTGGTGGTGAATCAGATAAGGTTAATTTAAATTCTAATTTTAAAGGAAGTAATATTAATGCTTCATGGTTATGGTGGATCGAATGTTCATTATTGTAGGATTTACGAACAATTAATTAGAAAATTTCGAATATATTCAATTGACTTACCAGGGATGGGATATTCAAGTAAATCGGATATCTTGATGGAATCATATGAAGATGCAATAGAATTCTTTATGGGAACAATATCAAAGTTTATTGAGAATGTTATAAGAGATTAAAAGATAATTTTAGTTGGTCATTCCTTTGGAGGATTTTTAGCAGCTCATTTATTCACTAGAATTCCACATTTATTTTCTAGACTCTTTTTATTAAGTCCTGCAGGTGGTACATATTATGATGATAGTGAAATCAAGTATAAAATAAATTAATTTTAAGAAAGTTGTAAGACACTTCATAATATCCATTTTTATAAAGAATATTTTTTAATTATGCTCATAAAAAATGGAGTGAATAAATTACACCCTAATAATTAAAAGATAAATGGTATGGAAATTATTTTATTAAAAAATATCTTAAAAAAAGAATGTCTTTATAAGGAAGAGAATATGAAGTATGGCAATCTTATGTTGATGAAATGTTAGCATTACCTGATGGTTCAGAGAAAGCATTATTTTTATTATTATAATTTCCAAGAGTAATTGCAAGAGGTTGGGATTCAATCGAATATATTTTAACAAAACATAATAAATATATTTCGGATATTCCAATTTACTTTTATTTTGGTAATCAAGATTGGATGGACTAAAAAGGAGCAAAAAATTTAGCAAAAAATCATAATAATGTTACCATTAGAATTATTGAAAATGCTGGTCATTAATTAAATTTTGAAAATCCAAAAGGAGTTTATGAATAATTAATTAATGATATAAGCATTTCAGTTAAACAATATGAATAATAAATAGTAATGTAATGATCAAATATTTAATTATATTATTATCATTTATTTTATCAAATTCATTATGATTCTAATTAGTATATTCGATTATTTATTGGTTGAAGTTGCTTGTTGTATTAAGTAAATTTATTCAACAAGTAATCGATAACAGATGTGGCACCTACTGTAAGAATACAAACCAAATAAAATGTTGTTGATCTAAACACACTAAAATAATAATTCAAATAATTTTAATACATTTAAAAGATTTTAAATATGCCATCAAAAGAATTAAAATCTTCAAAAATTAAAAGTGTGAAAAAGAACATTACAATCATTCCTAATAAAAAAAATATATGTGATATAGACCATGTATTTGAAATAATTACTATTCTTAGGTTTGATATTAAAATTGTTAACCAAAAGATTACAGTACCAGTATACCAAAAAGACATTAATCTGCCTGTTTGATGAGTATTTACATCAAAAATGTAAATGCTAAAAAAAGCTATAATTGCTGATGAATAAAGTGAATTGAACATCATAAGTAAAAATAATTCTGTATTAAAACAACTATCTAAATAATCAATAATAAATATTTACTAGCTAATCCGATAGAATAAGTTTAGTATTTATTTGAATATAATGTTTATTATGAATATTCTGTATCGAAAATAGCAAATATTATGATTGGCATAGAAGTATAAAAGATATTATAAGCTTAATAAATTAGATTATCGTAAATTCTTTAGCCACTAAAATTATTGTAAATGGAAAACCAAAATTATGGAAAAACCAAAATTATGTTTTTGTAAAAATTATACAACACTAACTCTGAATTTTTGCGATAGGATTCCCTTCCATGTATAAACAACAATTATCTTAATTATTGGAATTCTCCAATTGCATAATCTGATGCTCTTGCTGCTTATTATCCTTCTATACCCTAAATACCAACTCCAACATTTGCACTTGTAATCATACTTACATCATTTGCGCCATCTCCAATTGCTAAAGTTGAAGCCATCGGAAACTACTTTTTCACAAAACACACTACCTTCAATATATTTGTTATATACTTATTATTTTTACAAAGGGCTCACTCTACAACATAATACAGATTAACATTTCTCAGTAAGTTTTGCAAATTAATTCATCAAAATAACATCTTCCAAAATTATTGTTAAGCAATCACCTGAAACTACAAATGCATCACTTTATTTTAAATTTGCCATTATATCTTCATAAATTGGTATTTAAATAATCTATATATTCATTTTTTAATCAATTAATTTGCAAGATATTGCTATATTAATAGCTGTTTCAATTTTGTCCCCTGTTAATATCCATATATTTAATCCAGCTTATCTTAAACAAAAAATAGTTTCATCAACATTGTCTTGCAACTTATCTTCAATACCAGTTATTCCTAAAATAGTTAAATCTGTTTCTAATTAATTTTATAATGCTTCCATCTTTTCTTACCTATTATCCATTTGAGTTATTGCTTATTTATAAAAAGATTCCCATTAAACAAATTCACTCCAATGAATTTCTTTATAGCCCAAAAGAAGAATTCTTAATCCTCTTTCAGAATATTCAGTTATAAACTTATCTAACTAATTTTTTTATTTTTCAACATTTGTTTTATTTTATTTTAAAAGCATAACTGAATCTGCTCCTTTTGAAAATATATAAATCTTATTTGTTTCTTTTTCACATACTAAAACTGAACTACATTTTCTTAAACTATTAAATTCGAATTAATATAAGAATTAATAGTATATCAATTTTCCTCTAAAATTTATTGTTATTATATTATTCTCATCTATTCCATTATAAACTATATTGTATTATTTAGCAAAGTTTAATAAAGCCAATTCATCTGGAGATGTCACATTATAATAAATTTTATCTCGTATTTACTAAGTTATTGCAGAATGACATAAAGTTAATAACAACAATGTTTTCTCTACTTTAGGATCATTTTATAATAATTTATCTGCAAAATTATGATCATCAAATTCTACAAAATCTATTGGCTAATTGTTCGAATGATAATCGCCATAAGAAACACCATCAATAAATATTTTTTTAAATATCATTTAATTTTTTGTCAAAGTACCAGTCTTATCACTTAAAATATATTTAATTTATCCCAATTCTTCATTTAAATTTGAAGATTAAACTGAACATTTTTTATTGTTTAAAATCATATTTTCATCTGACTATATCAAAAATGCTTAACAAAATTTGACTGTTTCTAAAGTTACTAAAAGAGATATTGGAACTAAGTTTCTAAAATAAACACATAAAATACCCAAACATTAGAATCCAATTTCCGAATCTAACAAATAAATTATAAATAAATGCATGATCAATATGATCATTCCTATTTATATCTAAATAATTTAATTATTCAAAATTAACTTTATACCATATTGAATAATATAAAGAAGAGAATAAACAAATTCCTATTTAAAGAAGAAAGATAAATATGATTCTTTTTCCAAGTTATTTTTCTATCGAACTTTGTTTGTATTTTACTTTAATCGAATTTTTCATTATTTTAGTATCATGCCCAGTATATATTGCTAAACCGAAAATATGATTCGTATTTTTTAAAACACTTCCTCTCAAAACTATATTTGTATTATCTAAAGCAACTTTTGTAGTTTATATTTTAGTTATTTCTTCATCTAAAGTTTTACCTTAAGATATTAATAGATTTATTTATTATTCTTTATTTTTTGATGATTGTAGTAATGTAATTTTATCGTATACACACTCCTTTTAATTAAAAAAAGAAAAAATTTCATTTTCTCTATTTTTTTCATCTGTAAGATAACAAGTCCCTGAAAATTTATATAATTAATTATTAGGAACATCATATTCTACTATTAGTTTATCTAATATTTCAGCTCTTTATTAGAGTAATTATTGAGGAACTTTTTTTAACTTTAAATTAGTTTCTCCATCTAAATTTTTTGTTTCAATATAACATTCCCCTGTTTTTTAAACACTTTTTAGAAGTAAAATATCACAAGGAAACTACTCATCTTCTCTTATCTTTTTATAGTTATTATTTACTTTAAGCACTTCGCCTGTTTAAATATCTTGCCATTTAATATTTTGACCTGACTCTAAAAGACATATATTCTCGTTTTCTTGTTTATCACTTTTTTTTCTTTTCGTGTCTTCGTATAAATCTTTAATCATTGTAACGATTAAAATGAAAATTAATGGTAACAATATTGTAGGTTAGCCATCAGATATTGATATTATTGGTATACCTTATAAAATTGCTAAAATCTTTAAATATGAATAAATTGTACTAAAAAATACACGTTTGCTTGTTTTGTAAATTGTTCTAAAATGTTTTTTGGAAAAAAATTATACCATGTATATTTACTTGTTTAAACTTTATTTGTTGAGTATTTCTTAATCCTCACCTTGCATACTCTAAATAAAGTAATATTGTTGATATTCTGATACATGAAATTTATATTATTTTGTATTAAAATAAATGACATTTTTTGATTATTCCTGAAAAAAAGATTAATTTGTTTTCTTAAATTCTAAAGGTTTTATAAGAGAAAATCTTTTTATACAATTAAATTATCTATTGAGATTTTTAAAACATTCATGAATAAAAAGATAAAAGTAAAAAATATACTATTTATAATTTAAGTTTTTAAAATTGTTAATTTCCTTAAGTTCTTTAAAAGACAATAGGATATTAAATTTTATAAAAGAATAGCATAAGACTATTTATTTATTATGATAATTATAAAATGAATTAATTAAAAACAATTAAATCTATGTAGCTTCAAAATTTTTAGAATGATTAAGCCTATGAAAAAATGAGGAAAATATAAAAAAAAACTTATTTTGAGAGACAGAAAGGACAATTATTAGAATTTACGTGAGTTAAATTTGAAAATATTCTAGTTTAACAAATATTTTATTTATTTAATAAAATTGCCTCTTGGTTTCTTTATGTTTTTAAAAATGTATCAAACAACTATAGGTATATAACATATATATATTTTATTTTCTGTTTCTTAATTATAAGATTTTTTTGTGAATTAATTAAATTCTATATTTTATAAAACTTATAATAATGTTGGTTTATTAATTTAAAATAGATAATTCAATATTTCAAATATTCATTAATAAAATTATCAATAAATAATAAAATTCACCTATGTAGAATCTACCATTTTGTCCAATACATAGCTATTAAATCCTAAATTTATTAGAATTAAGTGATAGTGATGCAAGATTAATTTGTTGCAGTTGTCTTCTCAATCTAATTAAGACAAAAAATAACTTTGATTCTAGTAAAATTGTAGATCTTGTTTAAGTTAAATTATCTGTTATTTCAAGGTTTATGAGCATCCAGAAAATACTTTTTAATTTACAGATGTAAAAGAGAAGACTTCTTTAGTTCAATTTTTACATGAATAAATAGAACAATTATCTGTTATAAAATAATAAATTGAGGAACTATTAAACCAATTATTAGAATGGAAATAAGAAATATAGTAATAGAAAACTAGTTTTCTTAATGTATTTAGATATTCTGATTATAGATCATTAAATAAGATGAATTCAAATAAAACTTTTAAACACTTGCAAATCAGGAGAAAAATATTAAGAATGAGATGATATAATAGATTTAAAATAAATTTTACAATTATTTTGAATCTATTAAGGCAATGAATTAAGTAGCCACATAAAAAGATTTGGAAAATTTGGAAAAACTTAATTAGAATATGACTCAAAAGTATAATAGATTTATTTATAATAGAGTTGGTAACTGTAAAAAATTTAAAAAAATATTTAAATCCATTAACAAGCTGGAATAAAATTATGAAAAANAAATTTTATAAAAGAATAGCATAAGACTATTTATTTATTATGATAATTATAAAATGAATTAATTAAAAACAATTAAATCTATGTAGCTTCAAAATTTTTAGAATGATTAAGCCTATGAAAAAATGAGGAAAATATAAAAAAAAACTTATTTTGAGAGACAGAAAGGACAATTATTAGAATTTACGTGAGTTAAATTTGAAAATATTCTAGTTTAACAAATATTTTATTTATTTAATAAAATTGCCTCTTGGTTTCTTTATGTTTTTAAAAATGTATCAAACAACTATAGGTATATAACATATATATATTTTATTTTCTGTTTCTTAATTATAAGATTTTTTTGTGAATTAATTAAATTCTATATTTTATAAAACTTATAATAATGTTGGTTTATTAATTTAAAATAGATAATTCAATATTTCAAATATTCATTAATAAAATTATCAATAAATAATAAAATTCACCTATGTAGAATCTACCATTTTGTCCAATACATAGCTATTAAATCCTAAATTTATTAGAATTAAGTGATAGTGATGCAAGATTAATTTGTTGCAGTTGTCTTCTCAATCTAATTAAGACAAAAAATAACTTTGATTCTAGTAAAATTGTAGATCTTGTTTAAGTTAAATTATCTGTTATTTCAAGGTTTATGAGCATCCAGAAAATACTTTTTAATTTACAGATGTAAAAGAGAAGACTTCTTTAGTTCAATTTTTACATGAATAAATAGAACAATTATCTGTTATAAAATAATAAATTGAGGAACTATTAAACCAATTATTAGAATGGAAATAAGAAATATAGTAATAGAAAACTAGTTTTCTTAATGTATTTAGATATTCTGATTATAGATCATTAAATAAGATGAATTCAAATAAAACTTTTAAACACTTGCAAATCAGGAGAAAAATATTAAGAATGAGATGATATAATAGATTTAAAATAAATTTTACAATTATTTTGAATCTATTAAGGCAATGAATTAAGTAGCCACATAAAAAGATTTGGAAAATTTGGAAAAACTTAATTAGAATATGACTCAAAAGTATAATAGATTTATTTATAATAGAGTTGGTAACTGTAAAAAATTTAAAAAAATATTTAAATCCATTAACAAGCTGGAATAAAATTATGAAAAAATTATAAACCCTTTTTGGTGTGAATTAATAAATACAATTGAAAGAAATGTTAAGCGGTAAATAAATCAAAAAAAAATAATTTATAAAAGTTAAGAAAATGGATTAACATTTGAAGCAATTAGAAAAGCAATAATTGGTAAGTAAAATTTACTTTGGTTTTTTAAATCATCTAATAATCAGGGTACTGAATTCGGTGCATTTACCCCATATATTTGGATTGAAGGTGATCATTCTGGAACCACTGAAGCAAATCCTTCTTTTTTATTCTCAAAGACTTTAAATTAAATTTATCCTATAATTTAAAAAATGGGAAAGTGTACATAATATTTTAATCCTTAACATATTTTATTTGGAGGCACTGGCAATAGTGATTAAGATTTAAGAATAAATCCTGATTTTAAATCAGGATATTCCAGATTAGGTATTACATATTCAGCCCCTGTAGGTGTTGACACTTCTAAATATTCTTCATATCTCTTAGGGGCTTTAGAACCAAATGTGATTGAATGCGAGATTTATTAAATATTATTTGAATGAGACATATTTATCAATTTAAAATATATTTTTTTTTTTTAAATTTATGTTGATTTTCTACTCGATATAAGTGTTATAATTTAATATTAAAAGAATCAATTAATAATTAAAATATAAATTATTTGGAATCCCTATCCTAAAAAAACAATAGTATTTTTTTAAGATTAATTCAGAATAAAACAGTAAAAATCTAAATATTGAAGAATATTTAAGTTTTCTCCTGCATAAAATAATATATCATTAGGTTTTTCTATCAAAAACACTAATTAAATTTTTTAATGCTTAAGTTATTATTGATTTTTTTCTATTCAATCATTTCAATAACAAAATTTAATTTTAGATTTGACAAACTAAAAAGCCAATTAATTTAAATTTGAAAGATCTCTTGAAATTAAGAATGATATTTATATAAGTATGTATGCTATAATAATTTTTATTTGATGTGAAAAGTGTGTCCAAGTTAAAAATGAAAAGACTATTTTCATTATACTGGATTTAAAACTAGAATTAAAATATAGTTATTTTTTTGGAATCTATCTGAAAAATTAAATATCAGTGCATAGCGAGTGATTATGGAAATTTTTGTATCTTTAAAAAGAAAAATATTATGAATATAAATTTGAAAATAAAGGCTATATTATAGTGAATTATTAATTAAGATCTTATAGAGATTCGAAACTAATTATGAACTCATTTTAGGTGAGTTTTTCAGATTAATAATTCTCCTGATTTCCCTAGAATATCGCCATAATTTTGATTAAATTAAAAGGATATCCTATTTTATCCTTCAAATCAGCATTCATCTTTCTGTTAATAAGACAAACAGAAATTCCTATTAAAATTAAAAAGTCATACTTCTAAAATTTATTGCTCTTTTTTACACTCTAATGATGAGGATCGAATTGTTTAAGGAACTGATAATTACACAATATAATTTGTGGGAACCTTACCATAATTAGAATAATAATGGTTTTATTAATATACTATATATTTGTTAGGTATTAATAGTAATAGAAATAAAATGCTTTCTTGTAATACAGAAAATACTTTCTTAATATAAGAAGATCTTAATAAAAATGGCAAATAAAACAAATGATTTGTGGATTTCACTTTTCATTTATTAGAAACTAAATTTTTGCAATCTAACCTAATTCTTATAAGAAAACGGGAAATCTATATCTATCTACAATTGAAAAACTTTAATCAATAATTTGAAAACTAAATTAAATTTATTTAAAAGCATGGAATCAGAATTATTGTCCTGGTTCTTATATTTCATCTGAGAATTTATTCATTATATATATAAAAAGTTGTTATTATATTAATATAGTAAAGATTTAGATAATTTTGAATTTTCTACAAAATAATCTATAAAATTTAAAACAAGATATATATCACAAACTTTAAAAGATGATGGAAATTTATAAATAATATCGAATTTTATATCTAAACAATTCTATCAGATTTATTTTTTATTTTAAATATTATTGATAAAGTAATTTTGAATCTAGTCTTTTTAATAATGAATTAATTTATAAAAGATTAGTTTTTGTGATCAATTTTTTAGTTTTCTTCTTAATTCAATTTGTTTATTTTTAATTGTGCCAACCAACCAATTTGTTTGATAAATAGTTAAATATAATTTTTTCTTTTAAATTCTTGATTCTAATATATAATGAGCTGTGGTTGTGTTCAAATATATAAAAAATAATTGATAAAAAAAATATATATTATCAATTATTTGAATTAAATCAATTCTATATTGACTGTTCGAATAAAAATTTAATCAAAGATGATTTCTAAAGGATTATCTTTAACTAGAAATTTTACCAATATTGTCAAATCAAAGAATGATATAATCAAAAAATGTTCAAAGAATTATATATATAGTAAGTTAGTTATTTAAGACTTTTCTTATATCTATTAAATAAGTGTAAAATAAGAATTTTTGAATTTTGCTGATATTAAAATATCAGCATATATAAAAGTCATGCATTTTCTATACCTAGGCTATATGTAAAAAAGAATAAGTGAGTCCAAATATTTTCTTTACTTAAAATTTCTCCATTGAACATAAAATGTGAAGATGCTTGTGATTATTCAATAATTATATATTTTAAATTAATCCATTTGACAAAAGATTATCATATAATTATGGAAAAAAGAGCTTGAAAGTTAATCAATGCTAAAAGATTATTATTAGTAGATAATAAAAAAAGAAAATCTTTGTTTTTCATTGATTGTTTTTAAGGTGATCTATAATATTAATTAAATAAAATGATTTTTAATTAAAAGAGCTTCATTATGTCTCTCATTTTATACCTTCGTGTCTCTGCTAATTGGAGATTAATAGATTATAGTTTTACAGAGGCTAATGTTTAGGAAAATAATTGGATTATGTTTAGAAATTGCCCCAATGATATTTAAATCTCATTTAAATCAAAAAGCTGTAGTTAAAATCAACTGAAGTATGTTCAGTTGACCAGAAATTAGGAATATCTATAAAAATCTTTCAAACATAGAAGCTTTTAAGTTTAAGTTGTTTTTGATGTCTTCTTTATTGAAGGAGACACCTCAAATTCCAAAATAACATTTATTTTTTCAAATTCAGCTAATGAATAAACATTTTACAGTAGAATATATAAAAAATATGATTTGACATAAAATAGTGAAGGCATTTGTAATAATTCTTTTAACGATTTTGAATTTCTTACAATAGAAAGTACAATTACTAATTAATTGAATTAAAATTTTATAATTAAAATTTGTTTTGATCCTGATGATCCAGACATGGAAATAGGAATTAGAAATTTGTTAATATATGTCAAATACTGTCATCCAACTTGTCTAACTTGCAATGGTCCTTAAGAAACTGATTGTTTAACATGTTTTAACAGTTAAAGTTTATAAAGTGGCTTATGCCTATGTATTCCTGAGTAATAATTTTCTGAAACAAACATAGGTTGCCTTTAAGAATGCAATAGAGATTATTCAATTGCTCGTTATGATAAAATTTGTGTTTAAGACAATAGAATTAAATCAAAACTGTAATTTTTTGTTAATAATGTTATTCCATTATCAAATTAATATAGATATGAACCTTTTATTTTTTAAAAAGATATATTTCATCTTAAAAATACTGATTTAATATATGAAAATTGCAATGGAATTAGTTTTATTGGTAAGTTGTAATTTAGTGAAGGAATGCTTTATAAAATGAATTTATAAAAGTCAGTCAAATTTCTGCGAATTCGTTTAACTTTTTATTTGTTTGATTTATTAGAATCAAGTAAAATTGAAATATTTCATGATAATCAAATATAATCTAGAATAATAAAAACTGCAACAGATTTTTAGTATGAAAATTTGAATAAAATTTTTGGAAAGATTGAAACTTGTGAGAATGTTTATACTTTGTTAAGAATAGAGATGACTTTTTAGCTTTTCAATTCTAATCCAACAATTAAAATTTAAGGATAACTTTAAGAAATGAGTGAATATTGGGGATTTAGAAATATTACTATTGACACAGGATTTTGTCAATAGAATTGTATTACTTGTTTAGATTATTTCAAATGTGCTGAATGTGAAACAGGTTATTAATTATATAGAAATCAATGTGTCTAATAATGTCCTATTCATTCATCTAATTGTGTTGATTATGAAGACTTTATTCAATGTAAATCTATTATAATATAATTTTTTAGATTCTAGATACATAGCGAAAGGATTTTATAATTTAAATATGACTCTAGAAGATATAAATTAATATTTTGATACTTCTCCAGATCCATCAAAAAACTTTGCTACCAGTTAAAAATTTTCATTTTTAAATAATAAAATAGTTTTAGGAGGTTTGTTGGTTTGGAATGATGGATCTTATATTAAAACATGGACAATTTAAAAACCTCATTATGGGGTATCAATATATTTTAATTTAACTTATGGTGATGGTTATACTGGACAATTTTATTATAAGGCAGGTTTATCAAGTGATGTTTACTCAGCACCTTTTAATAATCCTGGAGGTGGATCAAATTTGATTGGACGTCCTAGTTTTGAAAGTATTCGCTTCTTTGAGATTCATTTGAATAATTTTTAAAATGATAATTTGTATATAGAATTAAAATGTTAGGCAAATATAGCAAATATTTTATAAGGTTTTTGTGCTATATCAGAATACTTCATTATTGTTCATTATGTAATATTTAATAATTAGAATTTAGTGTCCTCCGTTTTGTTCATAATGTATTAGTTCAAGTACATGCACAACATGGGAGCCAGGTCATTCTAGTTCTAGTTGTTTAAGTAGTTAATATTTAAATTTTGATCAATAAACAGAAACTTATAGTTGCAATAATTGTATTTAGATTGGTTGTAATATTTGTATGGGTACAGAAGAATGTACTGAATGCATAAGTGATGAATTTGAATTAACTAATGGAATATGTTTGTGCAAACCATTTACTTATTTATAAGGAAATGTTTGTATTAAGTGCAATAGATATTGTGAAAACTGTTATGGTATTTCTTAATAAAATTGTCTAACATGTATTCAAGAATTTCATAGAAACATTTAGTAAAATGAATGCTTATGTAACCCTGGATATTAAAATGATGGAATTAATTTACCATGTATTCCTATATGTGGAGATTAAATAATTGTTGATGAAGAAGATTGTGATGATGGTAACAATAACCCATTTGATGGATGTCACTAATGTTAATTTAAATGTTAAGAAGAATGCAATATTTGTCTTTATGGTAAATGTTATCAATGCAAAGACAATTATAATTTAGTTCAAGAAATTAATAAATGTATTCCAATATGTGGTGATTTAGTAATAGTTAAAAATGAAGAGTGTGATGATGGTAATGATAATGCTTTTGATGGATGTTATCATTGTAAATTATAATGTTATGATCATTGTATTTAATGTAACTAAGGAATTTGTGAAAAATGTGATGAAATAAATGGTTGGTATTTAACAAATGCTAATTGTTAATCTATATGTGGAGATGGAATTATTGTTAAGGGATAAGAACAATGTGATGATTCTAATTTTAACCCTTTTGATTTATGCCATATGTGTGAATAAGAATGTTAATAAAATTGTATATAATGTTAAAATGGATATTGTCTTTAATGCGAAATGGGCTTTTAATATCTCAAATAAACTAGAAAATGTATTCAAATTTGTGGTGATAGTATAATTGTGGGAAATGAATAATGTGAAGATTAGATGATAGAAGGTTTAACATAATGTTCGGATTGTTAATTTAAATGTAATGAAAAATGTACTTATTGTAATTTTGGTAAATGTTAAAAATGTAAAGTTGGGTATATATTAGTGAATAATGAATGCGAATAAGTTTGTGGGGATGGATATGTTGCTGAAACTGAAGTTTGTGATACATTAGTTTAAGATATCAATTCTAATTGCTATAATTGTAATTATAATTGTCAAAAAGGTTGTTTAATTTGTAATTAAGGTATTTGTGAAAATTGTATAGTTGGATATATTTTAGAACAATTTTAATGTAAACCAATTTGTGGAGACCAATTAATTGTTGATTTAGAATAATGTGATGATGGTAATTTAATACCTTATGATGGATGCCATAATTGCAACTATTCTTGTGAAATTGCATGCAAAGTTTGCTAATTTGGGTATTGTATAGAAATGGATGAATAAGATATAATAGATGAAGATAATGAAGATAATGAAGATAATGAAGAAATAGAAGACGATGAAAATTAAGATTCTTATTCAACAAGTTTTGATTGTATTATTCCAGACTGTAAAATTTGTGAAAATAACAATATTTGTTTGGATTGTGGTTAATATTTTCAATTAATCAATACCTAATGTGTACCTATATGTGGAGATGGTATTATTATAGAGGGATTAGAAGAATGTGATGATGGTAATGATGTATCAAATGATGGATGTTTTAAATGTTAATTTTAATGTTCTCAAGGTTGTGTTGAATGTCAATAAAATTAATGTAAGAAATGTGATAATGAATTATATATCTTGGATTTTTAAACAGCTTAATGCTTGTAAAAAAACTATGATTAAAATGATAATATTGATTCACAAATCACAGAATTTAAGTTATATTCAAATTTCAGATGTGGAGAAAATCAATTACTTCTTGATAATTTATGTTTAAATTAGTGTGGAAATGGAATTTTGGCTAATAAATATGAAGAATGTGATGATGGAAACAATTTCGGAGGAGATGGATGCTCTTCTTTTTGTAATATTGAAAATTCCTATAAGTGCCTAAATTAAGAAGGCTCATTAAGTTTATGCACATTTATGAAGGCTCCACAGTTCATTCTCAATATTTTATCAGATAAAATAAATTCAACCTAAATATTAGAATTAACTTTCACATAACAAGTTAAATTAGGGACAGATTTAAAGTTTGAGGAATTTGTGTTTTTTACATTTACTTCTAAAACTCAATATTAACTAACAATTAATTACATTTAAAACATTACACTTTATTTGAGTAGTCCTAAATATTAAATTATAATTGAATTTATTGAACCTATAATAGATCCTATTCTAGAAGTTAATATAGAAAAATCTATAATATAGAATTAATTTGAATAAGATTTATAGGATCATTAGTAGATTATTCATCTTGGCACTCCTTTTGTGCTACCTGAAACAACATAAAAATCATTAACCTCCATCGTTTAAATTAATGATGTTATGATGTATTCTATGGTTAGTGTATCAGGTTTGGCTTTACTAACTGGAAATGCTATTATGTTCTTTAATCTATTAGATTTATTATAGTCCTTATCTTATATAAAATATATGCAATTTCAATTTCCACCACATTTAACAGAATTTCTAAATACTTACACTAAAGTTTCATTACAGCCAATTATGAATTATTTTTAGGTAGATTAATTATTGACAGATTTAAATGGAGGAACTCTTCCATATCAAATCAGCAATAAATCACGAGAAAAATCTACAGCAAATGCTTTAAATTAGATTTACTTAATCAATGCAAAAAGTTGCTATTTTTCTGTCTTTGTATCTGTAATCACTTATCTAATTTATAGTACATTAGTATCTAAAACTGTGTAAAAAATAGTATTCAAACTAGAGAATAAAGGTAAACGAAATTCTAAAATCCTAAGACTTATAAATTTTTTTTAAATCAAGATTCAGAAAAAGTGCTTAAAGTTGAAATTTGAATATTTCTCTTAAGGAATATTTAAGCTTTTTTAAGCAATTTTACATTAACTTATTTTTAGTATATTATTACAATTTCCAAATTACAAATTTCATACTTCATTTGAAATTTTCAACAGCATAAATGCTATATTTGGATTATTTTTTATCTTATTAGTTACTTTGAATTTATTTTCAATCACTACTGCAGAAATAAAAGATTAAATTAAATGGAAATATTTTTATTTTGAATCAAAAGCGTAATTTTGGTAAGTCTAATTTAAGTCCTTCTCAATTTATAGAATATTGTTTTATATAATGATTATTGTTCAATTAATCAATTATCCAGAAGCATAATCAATATTGCTTTCTATGCTATCGCTTTCTTATATGATTTATTTAATCAAGTATAAACCTTTGAAATCTCAATTTGAACTTTATAAATTAATTTGCAAAGAGTTTTTTGTTATGTTGTTAACTGGAACATTTTTAGTTTATAGTTTTGAATTTAGTTAAGATAAATACATGTTGCTTGGCTGGATTCATATAGGTATGTTTTCTTCAATTTTGGCTTCTAATTTATTAATAGATATATATATATAAATTCAGAAAATCTACGATAGTTACTTGAAAAAGAAATTTAAAGATAAAATTGAGTAGTAGAGAAAATATTATTATAATCATTTACAAGGATTTATCTTAAATGATCGTGATTATTACCATCATAATTCATGATTACTGTTTTTGTTTCGTTTTTATTTGTATATTATAAAAATATTGATTATAAATTTTATAACTTAAACAGGAATAATATATAAATCAAATATTTAACATAAATTCTAAGTTTCAGAAGGATTTCAAAAATCAACTTAAATTCATAAAAATATATATAAGATTTATTCATCCTTTGAACTTATTGGAAAATATCAATTTAAAGTTAAATATTTATAAACTTACTTTATTCATTTATTTCAGGAATCTAATATAATTTCTAAAAAACTCAAGCATAGTTCAAAATTTGTAAAAAATTATTATAAATAATTTAATGAAGGAAATCATATCATCATAAAGTATAGAATTATGATAGCTCCTTTAATTACAGCAACTTTTAAGCGTTCTAACAATGTTTTTTCAAAATAAAATATTATTATATATTTCAAATCTCTGTAAATTTTTTCATAAAGTAAGAATAATAAAATCTAAAAAGGTTATTAAAATCTTAAGAATATATATAAACTAAAAATCAATGATAAAATACTGCCATTCTATATCTAAATTTAAATATTTTAAATATCTTTTATTTCTCCATTATTTAACTTTTTTATAAAAAAATATTAAAAGCAAAATAATTATTAAAACAAAGAATAAATCCATCCTTAAGGAGACTATTAAAATTTAGTAAGAGTAAATTAAATGCTATAATTTCCTATTGAAAATTCATTCAAACAAGAAAAATTAACTGTTATATTTTTTACTGTATAATTACTTTTATTAGAAAATAGTTGCATTAAAATTTCATTTTTGATAGATTGATTAGATTTAGTCGATAAATTAATATAATTTCAAATAATTTCAAAATATAACCCTCATATAAATAAGGGATGGCTTAGATAGCTATAAAATAATACTCAATATTATCAAATTCAATTCCAGAATTTAATTCTTTGAAATAAAATTAACTGATTAAACTATAACTATTCATATACTCTAAATAAAATAAAATATTTATCTAAAATAAGTAGGAATTTCAGTTGACAGGAAGATAGCTGATTCATTATATAGAGACTGTATAAATATTTTTAACTTCGATTATTAAACAAGCTTTTCAATAATAATCTTAGAATACTTTTCTAAACTCTAATAAAAATAGTGAATAAAATATTCTCTTCAAGCAACTTAAGTCTCAAGGATGACACTCAACATTGAAATTGATCTCAATATCAAGATAAATATTAAAAAACCATTTCCAGTTACTAGTTCAAAACTAACACTATTAAATATCCATCATCACATCTAATGATAATAGCTAAATGTGTAAATCCAACACTATGAGCATCTTATATTTATTCAATTGTTTGATTCTATTAAGCTAATAATTAAATAAATAAATTTTAATTGTTAATCGTATAATTGATTAAAATTGGAAAGAGTATATATAATAAATATTTCTGCAATGTTCTATAAAGTTATTACATAAATAATCTTATTATAAAATGCAAAATTAATGAGCCACTTAATTGTAAATTTCGTTAAAATTGTCTAATAATGAGTTTTTAATGATCAAACAATTTCTTTCAGCAATTAAATTTTTAAAAAAGCCAATCAATATTGTTTGGAAATGGAAAAGTAGGGATTATATTGAAACCTAAAAAAGATATCAGAAATGGATTACAATGAATCCATATATTTTAACAATATGGAGTCCTAAAAGTCTGTATGTATGCTACAAAATACAAACTGATTGACTCTAATGATGCTGATAAGCAAATTTATTGTAATAGAATTAAGAATTGAACAGTAACATGTTCAGGTAGGGAATGCCACTTATGATTTAATTTATTTTGAAGAATGCAATTTAACCAACTAAAAATATATTTCTTTTTTAAAAACTAATATATTATTTTCCGCAATCTTTCTGTTTTTATTTTAATTTTAGATTTTTATCCTATCTATTATATATTAATCCAATTAAAAATTATAGGACGAAAATAGTAGAAATAAATTTAAGATAGTTTGAGAATTCAAGAATCCATTTTTAATTATGCTGATCAAATAAAATTTTTTTATATTAATTTAGAGGAAGAATTAAAAGGTTTTACTTCAATTTTCTTAAGTTCAGCATCGGTCTCTGAAGATTTATCAAATTTAGTATTAATTTTTAATAATTTTTTTTCAATTTAGACATTGCATAGAAATATTTTTAGATAAATAGATTTTTTAATATAAGGCTATTTTTTCACTCAAATATAAGTTGATCGTATAGATATTAACTTGATATGCTAAGTAATATTTGGGACAGATCTAATTATAAATAGGAATAGGTAATATTTAGATTAGCAAAGCCCAAAATTTTTCCTTAGAATTAGTTTGTTTGAAAAATGATGATAATTGCTAATATTTTATATTTTTTTCAACCTACTCGTGACTTTCATTAAGAAGAAATAATAAATTATTAAAAATGATTAATAGGAATAAAGACTTAATATAATGTAATAGACAATCTGATGATGATATTGGATTTTACTAATTATTATTAGATATATCTGATAAAGTTCAAAATATAGGTTTGTTTTTTAGAGAAAATTTAGAAGTTTCTAAATTAGCCACACATTTGCTTTGGTATTTACAATTTTGTTAAACGATTTATTATGGTAATATCATTATCGGAAATTATGATGATCTTCTAGTTCTTTTACTGCTTCAAGTTTTTTATATTGCTAATATCTAAGAAGTAGTAAATTTTAAATTTTAAATCATTACTATTTAATATCCTTTATTAGCTAGCACATATCGATTCCATATGAAATAACTCGACTTATTATTGAATTGCTTTCTATCAACTTAGAGTTATTATTATAGAGAGGCGGCTTTTATTGTATCTGTAGCTTT